ATCGCTTATCAGTTAACAACTTTATTCTCCGCTTCGTAACTTCCGGCTTGTAGGTTTCGCGCGATTCCTGCCGCGCGGCACCTCAGCTCCGGAGGAGGTCCACTCGCCGCTCGCACGGGGAGGCTTCTTTATTTCCCGATAAACCGCCGGGCACTAATGCTCACGCTGATATTATGGATTCCGGAAATTTATAGCCGCACGGTATAAAAATGGCTTATTTATCACGCGTCGCATCGACGCGCGGATCCGTTCTCTCGGTGCTACCGAAGCTTGCTGCGCCCGAAACGTTTACTTAATCCGAACTTTAATAGAAGTTAGCTTACGATATACGCCTCGCGAAGTTCCGTCACGCTCCGCGGGAAAGCGCTCCCGCGAGCATTATCGTATTTTTCCCTTTTAATTGTCGGACCCTCCCTCGCGAATCATCTCGCTTATTAACTTTCATCGGGAGGCATCGTGCTCGTTTCCGCAAACAGCCGAGAAATAGTACGTTTTCTTCTTTCACCCGTAATCAAATTACCATTCCCCGCCCTCCTCCCCAGAAAAACATCCAGATTATGCGCGAAATTCGGTGCGTGAGAAATGAATTTCCATCGAGGGACGAAATCCTCATTCGGGGATACGATTTGCACGATCTTCCTCGACGACAGCGTCGCTCACCGTCGCGAACGATGACCTCATTTTTTTCTTCCGCATCACTCCGCACGTTCGCTTTGACGTGGAAAGGGTGCGATCGTAGCTTTAAGGTGGCTTAACTGGATGGTGGAAAACGCGACGGTTATGGCTCGTTAAATATCGCGGCACATACATAGCGGAGCGCAGGTACGCGAAGTTAAGTAATAGCATACCGGCCACTCGTTGTAAAACTAGCTTGGTGAAACAACGCGACGCATTTTTTTCCTTAGAGATTTTCCAACCAACTTGGAAACTGTGTTACCGCATAACTACGTAACCATATTACGACGGAGTGGGCGAGGAGGAGGGAGAAGTGAAGGAGGTTTGCTTTAGCGGGGTGTTAAATAAGTAGATCGAGCAGATTCGCCGGTACACCGTTTAGAAAATTAACGCTGCCGCATATGGCAGCGCGTATATCGATTAAAAAGTAAACGCACGAGGTCCTCTCGCGTATAGTTGCACACGCATACGCACACACACGCGTACAGGCCCATGCCGAAGTTAACGTCGACATTTAGGCAGAATTGTCAACACACTGTAAGTTATACTGATCATATCTATTTATCAATGGATATTATCGCAATTCGGTAAATATCCGCGAGCTCTGCCGTGGCGAGGCACGTGTGCTGAATAATTAGAATTCAATTTTTATGATTCCCCGCTCAGTACACTTAATTTGAACAATGTTTCCGAGACATCCGTCAAATCGCACGGGGAAAGAGAAAATTAAGATATCAACGTGCGTTTCCAAATTTCAAAGACGATCGTTGTTATTCAAATACGAAGACCGTTATTTTTGGAACAACGAGGCAGAAGATTAGTAAAATTACGGATAAAAAGCAAGACACATTTGTGCCATTAATCTGTGAAAATCGACGGACATTCTCGCTCCTGGAACCGGCTTAGGTTAGTCTTTTGAATCGCAAGTATAACGAAGGCATTCTTCGTTTTACGTAATTAGACACGATTTGTAATCCGAACAATTTTGATTTGTGCATTTCTATTTCATTTTATTAGTTTCTTTGCTTTTAAGTTTTCTATATGCGCCGAAGAGGATCGGAAAGCGGGATCAAAACGTCTGCGATAAATTTGTATAATTTTCACAATACTAAAGATTTCCGGGGTGGTTTTTACTTGCCCTTCTTTGCCCACCGATTGTATATCTCGAGGGCCGTTGCAATGATTTACATTCGATCGAATGCGAAAACGATGAAAGGCGACCACCGATGCGCCGAGCACCGTTGAAACGTCGAGATACAAGAGCCGGCGAGAAACACGCGAGATATCGAATAAGTAAGTATTTATAGCTCCATTTTACGATTCCATTTCGGACCGCGAACGGTTAAAAATCCGCGCCGCTCGCAATCCCCACGGGCCATTTGCTCGGCAAATTTCGACGCGGTCCGACGCGCGGATTTTCAACGGTACCGGCGTAACGGCACGCCGCGGGTATAAAACAGACGGCGACGGCCGGTCGTTCGGCGAGATGAAATTTTATTTTTCGGGAAACGTCGCCGCGCGACGTAGCGTGTAGCCTTCATTACGTCCCGCTTCCGTGAGAAACGCAGGGTCTATCGCGCGGAAACGGAACAGAACTCGAGGGAATCTCGGCGAGCGCGCGCGCGCGCTCGACAACGATGTCGTCGTCGTCGAGCCGACGGAGACTTTCGCCTCGCGAATAAGCGGCCGAGTGAGCGCTAAATTTCTCGTTTGTGCAATTCAGCCGCGTAATCTAATGAGCAAACGCCGCGGACCGGAAATTGAAGTATACATTATGAAACGCGCTGCCCTACGCCGCGATCGTGAAACCAGGTCGCGGCTTTACCCCCGAATTCGCGAACTTCGCACTCGAGGGATTGCAGTTTTCTGATTCGCCACGGTCGGCCCGCGACTTGTAGCGATGAATATTTAGCGACGGCAACGTGACTCTCCGTTGAATATCCGGGCTGAGCCGAAGGGTCGACGCTTTCGGAGGAGAAGCTCCTCTCCGCCCTTCTCGCGTAACCGGACGAGAAGTTCGCTCGCTGCCAGGAAAATTAGATTTATCGAGTTCACGAGATGTTTCCGGCTGTCTTTCTCCGCGCGCCGGCCGTAATACATTTCTCGCATAGTAATTTTGCGCATAAATCGCGCGCTCTTTGTGAAGTAACAGGAGCGGCGACGCGGCGACGTCGAATTAAAAACGTTCGTTGTATATTTTATCATATGGCACGCACGCATGAGTAATGCAAATGGTGCATGTGGAGTCACGCTCGGCGTGAAATTAGCGATAATTCTAATTTAAATGACTCGGTGCACATAACGTTCTCGCGCGAACATGGCGGTGGCGTCGTGCTTTTCCGTCCGATCATGCCCGAGTCGAAATTTCGGCTTTCAATTCTACAACGTGGTAGGAGTTAAGATAGTAGAATAGGCCAAATTGGAATAATTTTAATAATATTGTCCTTATTATTGTTATTATTATTTATTCCTTTGTTTCTGATAATGTCTTAAATTTCTATTCTCGTTGTTTCAGCGTCGTAATAAGTTGTTTTCCAGGTAGCATTATAATTGATAAATATTATTGGGTGCTTGCAAATGTCGTAAGGTCGCACACAGACGTCTCTGTAGTAAATTGTTTTCCTTTAAATTGCTTTTTAGTTTTTAAATTGATTGCTTGTTGGCCATAGTAGATGAGAATTGATAGTTGACAATTCATAGTTCCGAGCGAAACGTCGTATTTAACTAGACTCGAGTATAATCGGATCTTGTCCTTGGATTTCCCGCGAGAGCGCACGTCGCGTCGTCGTTGAGAAAGCAATAATTCGCGATCACCGAATCTCACGGCCGTTGAGACGCGAGCCTTGGCGAGAGAAAGTTCGATCGTCGCCCCGCTGAACGTGGCTCGTAACTTCTGCCGGCGCGAGATCGAGGCTCTCGACGATCCAGAAGAGAGTCCTGCGCCGCTTGTTTACGAGCGCCCCGACGACTAATTCGAAGACAGAGTTCACGGTCGACTTTCTCCGGGCCGTTACGCAAAATTCGATCACTTCCGCTCAAGTTACCAGGGCTATGCGAACTTCGCCGGCGGGTAGAATTTGCACGGATAATTAATCTTTCGTGCAACGGGGATTAATTAACTCGTGTAAATTTATTCGCGTCTAAAGGCTACGGGCGACGACGGCGAGTCCTTCATTGCGCCGTTATTACCACGGAACACTCGAGAGCTGATATAATACGCGTCTTATCGGTGATATTCCGCGAGGTCGAACTTTTTTGGGTCCACGTGGAAAGTTAAGCGCACAATAAACTATGAGATCAAAGAGCACGTGTCCGAACGTTTGACGACAAAGCGGCGGAGGATCAAAAAATACACTTATTTAATATTTATCGTGCATATATACTGAGTGCGCAGTTATTGCACAATATGGAATTAAACAAAGTTCCGACGGCGCAAAAACTGTACACCGCACGCTTGTGTGCATGCATGATTTTTACCGTGAATTATCTTTATTGGCTATAACGATTACAGTATTTATGCACGTTGCAGTTCGAACTGCGCGTGACGATAATGTAAACGTCAAAGCGAACGTCAAGCGCGTGTATCGATTTTGTAATTATATTACTTTGGTCAGAGGGACGAAAATTGAAAATTACGCGAGCATTTATTTCGAATAATGGTGATTACTCGGAGGAACGTTCATCGCGTTTATTAAACGGCAAAATTGTACTTGTAATTAAATCCAAATTAATAGCACCTCAGATTATCTATATTATTGTCATCCGAATTCTTGGTATTTTTCACGTGTAATTCGCGCATGCACGTACACGGAATGGCGACCGTATTACGAAGATTACCATTCTGCCTTTATCTTCTAAACATGTATTTTTTCGAATTTCAAACCTATTTGGCGGTCTTGACACTTAAAGAGGGTTTCCTCACACAGACCGACGAAAATTAGACGACGCTTGCAAATTGTTTTGAAAGAAAACAAAAAGGTCTTTGACGATTGAAATCTGGAATTTATCGTCGGATTTGAACAATACTTAAAAGTTTTTCACCGCTGTTGGGCCAACAGCAACAAAACTGTAATTGCATAAATGACGCAGTGAGAAAAAAAACGGTGCTCGTGATTGCACTTTGTACAATTATCTAACGCGAAGCAAATGAAATTACTTCCGCATGAATTTCACTATTGTCTGTGCCGATATAATTATTAAAAGCGCAAAAATATAATATAACAAAATAGCGACGTTTTGAGGTGAAAAGTCGCATTCCCCGCAGAAATCGATCGAGCCATTAATCCCATGGTGTAATCAGTGATCTCCTTTCTCTTTGTTCGCAGGAGTGGACGGACTACAACCTTCAGTGGAACGAGTCCGAGTACGGTGGTGTGAAGGACCTTCGAATTACGCCGAACAAGCTTTGGAAACCGGATATCCTCATGTACAACAGGTAATCTGGCCTCGTTACATTTGCGTAGCAACTCTCATTTTGTATTGACAAGCCAGTAGCTTCGACTAACAACATTTGTCAGGAGCATTTCAGTTTCGGCGCGCTCGCTCGCGCGGCCGCGAGTGGAGAAAAGCGCCGGTCCCGTAATAGAATTTTTAATTAAATTGCGAGCACAAAAACGCGCGCGTTAACTATGCTTATAATAATCGTGTTAATAAAGTATGGCCGTAAAGTGAAAAGACATCCCTCGTAAAGCAGATTCGCGTAAAACTGATTCCCCAAGGCTACGCAGGCGCGTACCGCCGCTTAAGACGCGATTATGCGATCTCGCGAACGAACGCGATCGCGTTAACGAAATCGAGATAAGACCTTTGAAATCTCGACGATTCTCAATTCGGCGACGACGACGTAAAAGCGAAATCACGCAAGGAATCTCGCGGTCTTCCTTCGGTCGCGTGCGAATCGACGAGGTCGATCGAGAACAAAAGAACGACGAATCCGCGCCTTTCATGCAATTCCGCGCGACCCGTCGTGGCGTAACTGCAATTGCGCGACGCATCGTTGAAGATAAGCCGCCGCGAACTTCCGGGCACCATCGCGATTTCGCGGGTACCGTCCGATACTTCAAGCGGTGAGCGTTCGCGCGTAAGCATCGCGGCGAAGCTTCGGACCGTTCGTGATTCCGCGTCGACGGGAACGACGCGAACAATCGAGCGGGAAATTACAGTGGGGAAACGTGGGAGGAAACTCGCTCGGCAGAAAACTCCCCGTCTCTCGTGAGAAACGCGATTCGCGCGAAAATTATTCGCCCCGGAGGTGCCCACGGCGCGCGTCGGACTTAACTACCGCCATTCGTCCGGCAGGTACACCAGGCACACACCCCTTCTGTGTGTGTGTGTGTGTGTGTGTGTGTGTGTACAGCTGAGAGAGAGGGAATTAAGATTTTTAAGAATGTCTTTTTCAGAAAAGCTGCGACGGCTAAGAAATAGCGCGGCGGTATAGCCGCCACTGCAGCGAAAGTTTTTTCATTAACTTTAAGTCGCTCCCCCTCTCCCGCCCTCCCGCGGAGGCACCCCCTCCGGTCGGGAGGGTTAATTATTTTCGACGCACCTCGTACTTTCTCTCTCTCTCTCTCTCTCTCTCTCTCTCTCTCTCTCTCTCTCTCTCTCTCTT